GCACTCGAGTTTTCTCCTCCCCTCCACCACCTGCTCTTCTCGTGACTCTCTGTTGTCTCGGGGCATCAAGTGCAGAGGGAAGGAGGACACACAGCCGCGACCGTACCTCCACTCGAGCGGCCGACGCTCCGCTTTTTCTCGGGGCACGACCACACACGTACCCCTACACCTGCAGTCGGTGGATCCATCCACACGATCCGTCGTCACTGACGTGATCTTTTCACCCTTTGAGCTCCAACCAATGGGTGCCTCCTTCCTCTAGTCATTTTTTAAAATCTTGCTACATCAATTTATAATCCATTTGTTGCTTTTAAAAAATCGAGGAAAAACAAAACAAACTATGTATTTTGTTTAGTACCAACTCCTACGTAGAAAAAAAAATCGCATTTTGCAAAAAAACCTAAAATGCATCTCACGGTAAATTTCAATTAAACGAGGCAGAGCAACAGCCAATTAAGAGGCAAAATATCGCGCCTCCAATTCCTATCTGAGCCCGGCAGAGTTACTAGCACTGCAGAGGCCTACACGACCCTCACCGCGTGTGCAGTAGATAATTTTCCCCGTCGTCGCAGCTACTGCGTGTGCAAGCCCTATCTTTTTTATTTATCGGCCCGGCCCCTCTCTCTTACTTTCACTTCCACCCCCAGAAGTGCCACCTGAGCCCTTTTAATAAGAGAGTCCCCCCCTATGTTATATCACAAAAGCGACGCGCCGGAAGCTCGTGTACTTGCACACACAAAATATACACCCCTCATAGACTTTCTTTCCCTCGGGTTTTATGCGCCTGCACTTTGTCTAGTGTCTGTTGTGTATCTTTACCCAAGAGGCTGCTCTGCACTGAGACCAAAGAAAACTTCAGGTCGTAGTTAAAGTCCAGCCAACCGACACGAAAGCTGCTGCAACTGAGAGCAGTGGAAATCTAGAATTTTGAGCACACTATGCCGCTTTTGACTTGAAAAAAGTTTGCACACAAACAAAGGATTAATTGTACGTCAGTTGGGGCATTTATTTTCAAGCAATGTAGGAATCAAGACGAGTTAGCGATAGCGTGAAAATTGTTCACTTACAAAATATCTATTTAATTTTTAGGGTTATCTCTATCTATGGGAATTATTTTTTTAATTTTCTTACGTCCCAAAACAGGTTGATTCACCGGATGTGTTGCTGTATCAATCTGTATTTAAATTCTCTCTATAGAAAAAAAAAAAAAACGCAGCCTATTCGCATCAAAATGAATCCATTGGATCGAAGTATTTATTTTGGCTTTCGGTGCAACGAGCAATTTTGGATCGGGGGGGGGGGTACTATACATATATATTTATAGATACGCAGCTTTGAAGATCATACTGTGAAAATACCGGAGTGACGATAAATAATACATAGCAAGGCCTCGTGGATGGTTTAACTTTTTTCCTCAATAACCCTCGCACTTCGCCTGCCGAAAACTTTTCCAGGAAACATGCTTCTTTAAAATTCTTCTAGTTTGATTTTTGTTCTGTCGTTTTGTCTTCCCCGGAGTAGCTAACTTTCGAGGTAATACTGAGAACATCTTTGAACTTTTAAACAGATGTTCACTGCGATGAAAAAATAAAAAGGCAGTAAGTCTATTACTCTGAACCGGCTCCGTTTGAAGAGGATAGCGTCAAAGTTTAGACTTGCTCGCTTGTACTGACCCTTTTTTCCGCGAAATATATTATTTCTGCCCGAAGCTTCTTTGCAGTTACACAAATTTGTCTGGCGTGATTAAATGGTGTACGAGTGCTGATTCGAAATAATGTGCTGATGAACAATGGGGTATTGAAAAATGTACGTTGGGCACAAAAAAATTAGCGAGCCCATNATTAGAGGCGCGTACATCAGAGATACGTTAATGCATGCCACCTGAGCCCTTTTAATAAGAGAGTCCCCCCCTATGTTATATCACAAAAGCGACGCGCCGGAAGCTCGTGTACTTGCACACACAAAATATAATAAGAAATTCATATTATGTTTATAGACATGTGTGAAATTAATAGCTGTGCATCAATAAATTTGAATTAAAAGGGTTTGATATTTTTTAAGTGGAGGTAATGATCAACGTAAAATCATTGAGCAACCAGGCTATTAAATATATTTTGTTATAATTATTAAGTACGCATTTGTCAAATTAATCTCCAAATCGAAAATAAAGACTGTTACCAGAACTTGCAGCTGCATTCGTCCATTCGTTCATTGATACTTTTATTCATTTATTTCTCGTGACACTTTTATATTTTATAATTTCCTGCCAAAATAACGATAGTCGATCTCGAATGTGAACGCATAAATCATAGTCCTTAATCAAATCCAGGCACCACATCCTCAAATGCACTAATGAGTTGTCGATGTACGAGGAAAATGTGGGGTAGTCGAAATGATGAATACAGATCCCGAGCGTCCGATAACCCGCCACCTATGCCTCCACAGTCGTTTCCGTGTATTTCCGCGCCTTTGGCTTGCAGCCGCACATTGACGTGCTCGTGCTATCTATGGCCACGTATGGACGCGCATCCCCTAAATGGACCCTGTGGCGTGTGTACGTAATGTACGTGGACGATATCCATACGTCGATCTTCGTCTCGTTTGCCATCCCTTCCTCCCTCGTCTCGATGGTCAGCGCTTATCGATGCATCCATTTCGTTACTTCCATCACGAGTTTTTTCGAAACTTTTTTTCCTCCTATCTTAATTTTTCATCTTGTGTTATGAAATGCGACGTGCACTCTTTCTAAAATATCCATTGAGAACATTAATTTTTAAATTAAAAAGCCGTTTCTGTCTAATAAACTTGAAATGAATGAAACGCGTACATAATAAAAAAAAATTAAAATCCGAAATTTTCAGACAACTGATATAAAAGTCGCAGCGGTTGGAAAAGCCAGAGAGGCAAGATAGCATCTATAGCGATGCAGTATAACAAGAAATCCCAGTCCCTCCGACGCCAACGAATCAAAGATCGACGACAAGCGATTGGACCGACGGCGACGTCTGACCACAGATTGATTACACTACTGTGGCCTGCCAGTCTTGAGCAAAAGGACAGGTGACGACGGACCGTCTCCCCTCGACTAATTAATCGTCACGGGAGGATGAGACGACCTACACCTCGTTTTCATTTTTTTTTTTTTTTTTTTTTTTTTTTTTTTTTTTTTTTTTTTTTTTTTTTTT